CCCTCTCACACCAATAGCCACTCACCCATACACCTCCAGTGCCCTGCTCTGACCCCCCACTGCCAGCCTCCTGTCCTGCTGCCTGCGCCCCCCACACTCTCCCTCCCTGACCCCCCAGAGAGTGCAGCCGACAGTACCTGTAAGGAACTGACATCATTTCCCCCGTGTCTTTAAATGACACACGAGGCACAGTTACAACCCCTGAGCAAATGGGGCACAGTAATTCCCGGGGCCTCCTCGGCGGCACCCCGGTTTATCTCGGCCGTCGCCGTCATGAATGGGGAGCCATATGCTTCCCCCTGTGCACACACCTCAGCTCGCCGCGCCTTCGCAATGCAGGCGTCAGCTCCGGCCATGGGAGCACTCGCCATTCCACGCTCTCGCCCACGGGCTGCCCGACCAGCCGACCTCAGAGCCCGGTCACTTCCTTTAGGAGAGACCATACGTTGCTGGGCACAATTTAAGGTTTTGGTTATGATCTATAAAGCCCTAAATGGGTTGGGACCAGGATTTCTGAAGGACTGTCTTCTTCCATATGAACCTGCCTGGGGACTGAGGTCAGCTGGGGAGGCTCTGCTCAGTGTTCTCCCACTTATGGCAATAAGATTAACATCTACGCGGAACAGGGCCTTCCCAGCTTTTGCTCCCAGGCTGTGGAATTCTCTTCCTCGGGATAATCGCATGGTGCCATCGTGGCGCCAACGCTAGCGTCAGGCTAAAGCCGCCCTTTTTACTCGTGCTTTTATTAATGTTTGAGTCTGGATGTGTGTTCCTCCGCTCTGTGTTTTTAGCTGGTTATGCCCCTCTGGGGTCTCATATTTTAACTGTTCATACTTTGAATGTGCATATATCTTTGTATTTTTGGGGTTGTTTTTGTAAGCAGCCTTGACTATTTTAAAGAGAAAGGCGGAGTGAACATATTGAAATAAAATCAATACATAAAAAGCAGCCCCCGCCCACGGCAGGGTGGGCACGTGGGCCGCTCAAGCCCAGCCGTGCTGGAGTGTCCCCCGCCCCCGTGAATCCGTTAACTGGTTCACTCTCATGTTTAACCAGGTAACTAGTGAAAGAGGGTTTGACACCCCCACCTCCCGCTTCGCTTCAGGCCCCTGTCAGTGGGGAAGTCCAAGCAGGGCCCCCGAGCCGTTCCGGCTGCACCTCCCCCCCCCCCCCGGCCGCTCAAGCCCAGCCGTGCTGGAGTGTCCCCCGCCCCCGTGAATCCGTTAACTGGTTCACTCTCATGTTTAACCAGGTAACTAGTGAAAGAGGGTTTGACACCCCCACCTCCCGCTTCGCTTCAGGCCCCTGTCAGTGGGGAAGTCCAAGCAGGGCCCCCGAGCCGTTCCGGCTGCACCTCCCGCCCCCGCCCCGCTCAGTGCCTGCTGCCTCGGGGAGCTGAACCCCACGGGGACCAGCCCAGGCCGCGCGCCCACGGCTGGAACGTCTCCGCAGGGCGATGGAAGCAGGGAACTCCCAACGGTGGAGCCGTTTCCTTCCTGTCACTGGTCACTGCGCGTTGTGCTCCGCTAGCCCTGGCTGGAAGCTGCAGAGCAGAGCCCCTTCTAGGAGAGCGGAAAAACCACTGAGGCAACGGACAAGGCTGAGTTTCCTTTATTGCGCGGGCAGAGGGATGGGCAGCGACGCTGCTGGGGCCAGGCCGTGGAGGCGGGACGGGAAGGTGGCTCCGTGCGGGGCTCTGCTCGTGGGAGCGATCAGCAAACGGGGCTCAGCTCCTGTCCGCGCTGGGCGCCGCTGAGCAATCAGCACGGTCCATAATAGGCAAAGCAAAGGCTGCCGAGCTTCTGACTGCAGGGAGAGAGACACAGAGCGAGGGCTGTTACTGGGAGGGAGGCCGAGCCCACGAAACTTCAGGAGCCACCTGCATTTTTGGTCAGTCTCCAAGGGGCCGCAGGACCAGGGTTTTTTTAAGTCCTTTGAGGGTATGTCCAGACTGCATCCCTCTGTCGGCAGAGGGGCGCAGATTGGGCAGATCGACAATGCAAATGAGGCAGGGATTTAAATATCCAGTGCCTAATTTGCATAAAAATGGCTGCCGCATTTTGCCAACTCAGCACTTTGTCGGCCAAAGGTGGCAGTCTAGAGGGGGTCTGCGGAGAAGAAAGCCTTTTTCGACAGATCCCTTATGCCACCCGCAAGGAGGTTTACAGGATCTGTCGAAAATGGCTTTGTTTCTCCACAGACCCCTTCTAGACGGCCGCTTTTTGCCGACAACGTGCTGAGTCGGCAAAACGCAGGGGCCATTTTTATGGAAATTAGGCACTGGATATTTAAATCCCTGCCTCATTTGCAATGTCGACCTGCCTCATCGGCATCCCTCTGCCGACAGAGGGATGCAGTCTAGACATGCCCTTAGTTACAGACTAACAGAGCTCCCCCGCCCCCCGAGGGTAACTGGCAGGGCCTCCTTTGGCTCAGTCGCCAGGGCCCGTTGGCTGGCAGGGGCACTGGACAAACACGTGGCCAGGCTCTAGGCGGCGCAGACCGACGGGCGCAGGCCAGGGTGAGCGGCAGCACAGCTGCGCTGGGGATTTTACGAACGGGACGCTCGCCGTGGGACTCACAAGACGGCGGCGCAGAAGAAGCATTCGTTGGCGTAGGTGAGGCCATCGGTGCCGCAGACGGGATCGTAGATCTTGGGGCAGGCTCGCGGTGGTGTCTTGTACTTACTGCAGAAGCCCTACAGAGGTCATCAGGAGTGCTATTACTGTCTGCATTTCTGTGGTGCCCCCATGGGGTGGGCGATCTCTGAACACAGGGAAGGGACAGCCCCTTCCCCATGGAGCGCCCTGTGTCTAACCCTGTCCCCTGTCTCTGCTGATCTTCTGACCGACTGACCGCCCGGGTCCCCTCGCGCTGCCAGGCGGAGCTGAGCCGTGTCCCTGGTGCGAGACGCTTCAGAGCCCTCGTCACACGTTGTGTGCGCGAAGGGGCATCTCCTGACAGGGGATACTCAGACAGAAAAACCTTCACGCACTTGTGGGACTCTCCCCTCCCCTGCTGTGTCTCAGAGTCGCTCCCTGCTCTTCCCACAGGCCCATCCCTCGCCTGCCCTGGGCAACAGCGCCTGGGATCCGCCCCTCGGCCCACGTGGCTCGTGTCTCCCCTGCCGTCAGACACCCCTGGCTAGCTCAGGTCTGTTGACTTGGGGTCGGGCTGCTGTGTAGACATTAGGATTTGGGCTGGAGACTGCACTGCAGAGCCCTACGATGGGGGAAGATCCCAGAGCCTGAACCTCTACAGTCATTTTTAGCCCTGCAGCCAAAGGCCGGTGAGCCCAAGTAATTACTCGGTCAAGCCATGGCCAAGCCAGGGGTGTTTCTTTCTGACCTAGACATACCCGGAGAGCTCAGATCCAGAGATTCCCCTCTCCCCCACTAAGCCACGAGGCAGAGTCTGCTCCTGTTTGGACCTCTGACCTCTGGCACGTTTCTGACCCAGAGCTCATGGTCCGTGTGATGCTACAACCCAGAGATGGGGGAAGCGACTCTTCATGAACAGGGAGGGGTTTCAACTTACCTCATCAGCCTTGCTACCAGCATCTACAACAAAACCCAGAGAGAAACAACACCGTGAAGGGAAATGTTGGAAGGAAAGTCCGTTACAAACATGCCTCCCTGTGTCAGACACGGCCTGGAGCTTCCTCACCAGCACAGAAATCGTAGCTGACGGGTCTCACTCACGACTCTTCTGCTAGCACCCCCAGAAGGAAGTCTGCTTTTTTTGCAACAGTGTCACACCATTGACTCATATTTAGCTTGTGGGCCACCATGACTGCCAGATCCCGTCCCTCCATGCGCCTCCCAGGCTGGCATCTCCTTTGTTGCAACTGATTGGTCCTTTTCTGCATTTCACCCTATCGGGACCATTTCGCCAGTTTGCTTCCCGCGGCTCCCTTTGGCTAGAACCGGCAAACCGGAGCCATTGGGGGCCATGAGGCCTCCTGGCCTCAGAGCCTTTAGGGAAACAGAGGCACGGGCCTGCTGGTGGCCTTCCCAAAGAGGTCCCTGGCCCATTAGCCAGGCGCTAACCCCATGCCCCTGGCCAACAGCCTCTGGAAGAAAACACAGATGCCAAGGGAAATGTCACGGGGAAATCAGCTGAAACCTTCATCTGTGCCAAGGACAATGGAGTGTGGGAAGGTTCCTGCCCCCCCATCCCATTGCTGTGACAGACCCACAGAGGGTAACGCGCCCAGGGTCACCCCTGCAGTCCCAGGCCAGCAGTGAGTTGCTCCCCAGGCGTCTGCAGCTCCCCGACCAGCGTCTGCATAAAGGCCCCTCGTGGCCCCTCACTCGCATCTTTCCCCGGGAAACTGCCTCTGCAGGGAGCCCCTTCCCCTGCCGCGTCCTGGCCCCCAAGCGCCCGGCGCTGGTGCTGAGCTGGCTTCTCACAGCCCAGCCCCGCGGGCTGTCAGGCCAGAGCTCTGGGCAGGCCCCAGCCACCTACTCACCCAGACAGCTGGGCAGGAGTCCCAGGGCGAGGAGCACAGCGAGAGCAGCTGTCTTCATGGTGGCCGTGGTTCGTGGCTCTGCACAGTCGGTTACTGCAGCGCTCGGCAGATGTTCTCGCAGTGCAGCCCAGGGGTGGAGATCTCATATATAGAGACTAGAGGTTGGCTCTCCATGAAACTGTCACTGATTCTGGAAACCGTTCCAGCCAATGGCCATTCCCTGCTCCTCATTCATGATGTCTGGTTGGGCCTCTACCCGAGATGCACATTTGTCGTCTTGTGATTGGTTGGTTGACCCTTGCCAATGGAGGACAAAGCATTAACGGACAATAGCAAGCCATCCTTCCACGCATGAGAGCTGTCATTGTCCCACGGGCACAGGGGTTTGCATGAAGAGCAGCCGTTCCCCAGCCTGAACGGAGACAATCGCACATTCCTGGATGTGTGTAGATAGGACAAGAATGTGGCTGTCTAGATACCTTTGGGGACAGCAACAAAGAGTAGCCAGGGAAGGTTAAACTGCCCTGACGTACTCTGCATCAGCCTTTGTCTAGCTTGTTGCTCCAGTGCACAGGTTCTTTACATTCAATTGGGTGTGTCCAGGGCTCTGTCGGTGGCTGAGAACCACCAACTTGCATCCCTGTCACATTCCTCTTTGCAGTCCCGCACCAGAAACCAGCCTATGCCAGGGTCCCTGTACAGTCTGTCTGTACAACAGTGGGGCACGTAGATCTCGTCTAACTTGCAGCCAATGTGTTAATGGAGAGAGAGACGGTCCCCGCGCTGGGGCAACAGATGGCTGGGCTGGGTCCAAAGGAGCTGGCCAGGCGGTGGCTGCGCAGGAGGGCAGCACAGACACCAGGCGGAGGAACCCCTTGGCTGTGTAATTGTGCAGCCGTAGTACCCCGGATGTTTGCAGGTTGTTCAGGTCGTACAGAGATGCTCCAAGTAGCTCAGTGGGTGCATGTTCTTGGGCAGCCACTAAGAGCAGGATCCACCCCCCCAGTGCTTGGAGCACAGACAGCCGGACGCCGAGGAGCCGGGCGACCACACCCGACACCCGGCAGTAGGGGTGCAGCGCTCCAGAGCGGCGGGTGCAGAACCCACTCCGGGGAGCTGCATGCAGATCCTCTGAGAGGAAAGGCAATGAGAGGGGTCCTGACGGGCATGTTGCCAGTGCTGCATTTTCTATCCCCTGGCCAGGCCGCACAATCCCTCCTCCAAGGGCGGCAAATGACGGCAGCGGGAGCCTGGCCCTACCGCCCGAAGCCACACCCCTTCCCTCCAGACCGTGTGCCTTCAGCAACCTCTCCCCTCCCCACAGTCAAGCCTCGCCCAGCCCAGCTGAGGGGGGCTGCCGTGAGGTGTGGCCCCTTCCTCAAGGAGCAGCCCCAGCCCCTCCCGTGCGGTGGGGCAGCACAGGCAGTTTTGGGAAGGCAATGACTTCCCTTGCCTCCATACCCCGCTGGCCATGAACTCTGCCGAGAGCTGGTGTGACACAGGAGAGCGGCGTCCACCCCTTGGCCAGGGCAAATACAGCCTGGGAAAGAATCCAGCTGTGCGTGTTTGCTAAGCAATGGTGCGGGAGGTGGCAGCAGGGTCCCTGCCATGGTGGGTGAGCAGAGAACTTGTCCCCATGCAGGGATTGGCTGGTGAAAGGTCAAAGCAGAATGGGTCGGAAAGGGTCAGGCTCAGGGACCACACCGGGGTTTGCTCATCGGGTCTCCCGCAGGCAAAGCCCTGGCAGCAGGTGAGGTGAGAATCGCCAGCCCGAGGCTCCCGGACGGCATGGGGCTGGCTGTTGCACTTTCTCTTCTCGTGATCTCTGCTCTGCAGGCTGCCCCACAGGTGACTCATGGTAGCACTTGGGAGGGGCACCACCGCCTAAGTGGCGTGCCCCCGCCTGGCCCTCTGGGTGGCACTCCCTGCGCATGCACCCCGCCCCGGCAGCACCCGTCACCACTGGGCTGCAGAGAGCCCGGGTCAGACCCTGGAGAGCAGGGTCCCTCCTTGGAAAGGGGAAAAAACTTCCACCAGGACAACGGATTCCACTGAGTTTCCTTTATTGCGATGCTGCCAGGAGCCGGGCCGTACAGGTGGGACGGGAACGGGGCTCCGTGCAGGCATCTGCTCGTGGGAGCAGGCAGCAAATGGGGCTCAGCTCCCTGGTAGTGCTCAGCACCCGGAGGATTCAGCATTTTCCGTAATACGCAGAAAGGGGAAAAAACTTCCACCAGGACAACGGATTCCACTGAGTTTCCTTTATTGCGATGCTGCCAGGAGCCGGGCCGTACAGGTGGGACGGGAACGGGGCTCCGTGCAGGCATCTGCTCGTGGGAGCAGGCAGCAAATGGGGCTCAGCTCCCTGGTAGTGCTCAGCACCCGGAGGATTCAGCATTTTCCGTAATACGCAGCGCGAAGGCCTCATTCACCAGGGCCCGTTGGCTGGCAGGAGCACGGGACAGGCACTTGCCCCAGGCTCCAGGCCGACAGGCGCAGGCAGGGCCGTGAGCGACCGCACAACTGCATTGGAGTTTCTACCGAGGGGCCGCTAGCTCTGTGACTTACAAGGAGGCAGCGCAAAAGTAGCACTTGTTGCTGTACGTCTTGCCATCGGTGCCGCAGATGGGGCTGTACTCCATGGTGCACACCTGTGGAGGCGCTGAGTACTCGCTGCAGAACCCCTGCAGAGAACATCACATTGCTCTTAGCGTCATTGTCTGCACTGCAGCAGTGCCCTGACACCCCCGTCCCCCGCGGGGCGGGACGTGCTCTGAACACCGGGGAAGGGACAGCCCCTGCCCTGGGACTCGCAGTGTCTCACCCTCTCCCCTTTCTCTGCTGGTCTTCTGACCAACCGACTGACTGCCCGGGTCCCCTCTCGCTGCCAGGAGGAGCCGAGCCCCTCTCTCTGGTGCAACAGCGCGGGGAATCCATCCCTCGGGGCACGTGGCTTGTGTCTCCTCTGCAGTCAGACACCCCTGGCTAGCTCAGGTCAGCTGACTTGGGCTCGGGCTGCACAACTGCTGTGCGGACATTTGGGTGTGGTGGCCTGGACAGCTGCACACCAATCATTAGCCCTACAGACCAAGCGCTGCAAGCCTGAGTCAGCTAGCTCCTTCCAGCCATGGCCAGGCCATGGGTGTTTTGTTCCAGTGTAAATGCACTGAGCACGACTCAGCTCCAGAGATTCACCTTTCCCCATCCAGGGCCGGGGCAGAGTCTGCTCTTGCTGTGAGCCATGAGTTCTAGCAAGTTTCTAGCCCAGAGACTGGTCTCTGGGATGCTACAAACCAGGGATTGGGTAAAGTGACTGTGAATGAACAGGGAGAGTTTGACCTACCTTACCACGCTGTCCAGCAGCATCTAGAACAAAACCCAGACAGACACGACACAATGAAGAGAAATGTTGGAGGGAAAGTCAGTTAAAACATTCATCCCTGCCTAGGACAAGACATGCAGCTTCCTAACCAGCACAGGAAGCCCTGGTAGGAAGTGTCTTGCTTACAACACTCCCGCTCACAGAAAGTTGTTCGCTTGTTTTGTAACAGGGTTATCCTGCAGACTCTTATTTAACTTGTGGTCCACTGTGATCCCAGATCGTGTTCCCCAGCACTCCTTCCTACACAGCATGGGTGCAACTGGTTGTTCCTTCCTAAGCAGAATACTTTGCTTTTCTCCTGATTGATTTCATCCTATTTACCTCAGACTTTTTTTGCAGTTTGCCCAGCTCATTTTGAATTTTATTTCTATCCTCCAGGGCACTTGCAACCCCTCCTAGCTTGGTATTATCCACAAACTTTATGAATATAGTCTCCAGGCCATTATCGAAATCACTGATGGAGAGATTCAACAGAACCAGATCAAGGGCTGATCTTTGTGGGACTCCCGTTTGGTTTTACTGTGAGCCACTAATAACTACTCTCGAGGAGGGATTTTTCAACCAGTTGTGCTCCCACCTTATAATAGCTCCATCAAGGATTTGGTTATGAGAAGATCTCGCAAGACAGTATCAAAAGCCTTTCTAACGTCCAGCTATGTCACATCTACCGCTTCCCCCTTCCACAGGGGCTGCCCTGTCCGAGATAGCTATTAGGTTGGTTTGACAAGACTTGCTCTTGACAAATCCATGCTGCCTCTTACTTGTCACCTCTTCATCTTCTAGGTATTTGCAGACTGATTGCTTAATCATTTGCTCCATTGTCTTGCCAGGTACTGACGTTAAACTGACTGCTCAGGAATTCCACCAGTCTCAGAGAGGTAAACATGTTAGTCTGTATCTGAAAAAATAACCAGGAGTTCTGTGGTGCCTTAAAGAGGAACAGATTTATTTGGGCATTAGCTTTCGTGGGTAAAACCCGCTTCATCAGAGGCACGGGAATCTCACCGTTTTCTTAATCCACCTGTGTTAAATCAACACCTATGTATCGGTCCCATCGTTTAGCTTTCGAAACACAATCCTCTGCCACTTGAGCTGAAGGACTAGTCCTGTGAGCTACCAGCTCTAGTAATCCCCCAATGTCCTTTCACAGCTACCTGCAGCCACCTACAGCAGTGGAAGCAGGATTAGACCCATGGTAACCCCTAGCAAAAACAGCTAACGGCTTGGCGTCAATAGGCCTGTTACGGAGCAGTGCCTGTCAGAGACACTTCATGCCACCGCTGCCTTTTTGCCATTCGGTTTCCCGTCACTGCTCTGGTACCAGCCTCTCTCAGACTCCAGTTCAGGTGTCTTTGTTGTTCCCTGATCTCTCTCTAAGTGCGAGGGGCTTCCTGGTCTTGCTCATTAGGGGCTCTCTTCAGAAACAGGTGAGCTGGTCTTCAGCAATCAGATTCCAAAGAGCCAGCCTGAGCAGCAAGGGTGAAACTGGACCCTCTGCCACAGTGAGCAACCTGCTTGTCTCACTCTGGCGTTCTTGTGTGTGCTCCTAGGAATAAACTGGGGGGACACTGCAAGCTTCCAGAGAGAGAGCTTTACATTCCAGTTTCACATCAGTGTGCACATAACGAGGCACATTCGCCCCTGCACTCCACAAAGGCTGTCTGATCCATCCAGGGACACTGCCCAGCAAATACCAGAATACCAACACTGGTGTCTCAGCAGCTCTGTCGCAAGATCCATGATCCACAACAGCCATAAAAACCTACGCGGCTGTCGCCAATCTCTCTTTTTTACGTCGGTGTGTCTTAAAACCTAAGTCA